TTCCAAAATGCAAATGGGAAGCACTTCGACTTAAAGATATTAATAAACAGATTCTGGGCCTTTGTGGAAACATTCCAGTTAATTTCTTTATTCCCCGCCTCGTTTAATAAACAAAACAAATTTCCTCTTCAAATTCAAATGCGGAGTCACAGCTTGAGGTCACTGAAATCGCTCGATCACTTCATTGCATTTTATTTGGGCCCGCCCCCTGTGGTTCCTTTCACAAAATTCCCCTATCTTTCGAAAAACAATTTGTTGTGACATTTTTATAAATGAGACCCGGTATTATTTCATGAAGCGTATCAAAAATGGTTAAGCTTAATAAATATTAAATAGTTTTGGACGTCTAAAATCTTAAAAAAAAATATGAACCATTAAAACTATTCATTGTTTATTCTTGTTTATTAAGATTGTATGGATACAAAATAAATCTATAATATACCATTTAAACAAGAGGAAAGTGCGACGGAGATGGAAATAAAATGCAGCAAAACGTCTGTTCCCCAGCTATGTACGCAAGCTCCACCTAGCGGCGACTAAGTAAATTGCTTAACATTTTTAAAAAAATGTTCCGATATGAAATAATCTTGTTTAAGATAAATTTTACTTGTGAGTTTCTTGGTGCAGAGTATAACTTGGTAAACCGAATATTGCAAAATCTCCCAATTTTTTGATAATCCCTTGATGCTCTCACCTGCCTCGAAGTTTTCCACCGGCGCGCCGGAACACCTTGAGCAAATAGTGAGAAATAATGATTTCGTACGTTTTATTTGCGACTTTTTGTGGCTGGCATTAAAATTGAAATTGAAATGCCACAGAAGGACCGCAGCAGTGGGACCCAACTAAAACCCAGCCCAGCGAAGCCCAGCTGCTCTGTCAGCTCCTGATGATGATGACAGCGTGGCGGAAGGGAAAAAGCGAAAACCACGTACAGTGGGCCCCCGGTTTAAGGGGCAACCGGCTGACTGGTGCCAATCACTTGTCGGGCTCTTCCAGCCGAGGGCGCACTTTAGCCCCATTTCGCAGGGGGAGGGTTTTCGGGTGGGCGTGTAAAACAAACGGAATGGCGACAAGCGCATAGTTTCATTATCCTTCGACGGGCCAGAGACAGCGGAACTGGCACGGAACAGGACCCGTCGCTACACGAGGCGCATTACAAATTTTCGAAATGAAACTGAAATCAAATAAAGGACAGCGCTACATACACAAACATCAGTCTGACGTCGAAACGAAATCTATATGTATGTAAAGAATACCCAACAAAACCAGCAACAATGCCACGCAATTAAAAATGGCCGGGCAGGACCAAAAAAGGAAAACACCACGGGGGGTTTTGGAGGAGGGAAACCCTGGAAAAAATAAATAAAACAACCGAAAACTGAAAATTGGCAGAAACAGCAGCAACAAAACAGTGGAATGACAAACATGCTGCGAATTTGTAATCTGTAATATGAATTCGAATTTTAAAGATACATTCCCAGGCAGCCGTGGGGAGCTGAAACAATGTGGAGCATGAAGCGGAAACGGATGCAGGTGAATATGATTGCAGTTCGATTTAATTGAGTTGCCCTGGAATGCCAGGGAAGCACCGAACGAACAGACACTTTACATACTCACACATGCAGGCGGGGCGAAAAAAACAATCAGAAAAAGATTGGCAACAATCCAATCAGCTATACTGTAATTGGCAAAATGCAAAATTGCGAATGAACGAATACTTTTTGCGGCAAATTGATTGAGAACTCAAAATTGGCAAAATGATGAAATGTAATGCAAATGCGGTTTCAGTTCGGTTTGCTTTCGGGGCGTCCAGAAGTAATGTTTTTGGGTGGGCCAAATTGTGTGAATGATATGTGCTGCTGCTACATCGAGCGGAAAAGTGAGTTGTCATTAATGTTGGGATGCGCAGATTAATATTAAATAAAATGTGATAATAAAATCAAACTAAGCAAATCTTTTAATTTAAAGGAATTTCAGATATTTAGCAGTTCTTCAGCTTCTCAAATTGATGTGGAATCCTGTGCTCGGCAATATCGTATAATTCATTTTACATACCTAATCGATCACTTTACCAATTATATCAGCCTTCGATGCCTGCAAACCTATATATTTCGCAAACTCTGCTCCGAAGGAAAAAAACCTTTATTTCGACCGGTTTTCAAACTTCCTGACTGACTGACTGATTGCTTTGTCTTATCAATGCCCTCGAACCGAATACAATTCAATTTGTACAACTGCCACACCCACCGGGCAAGTGACGCCCAATTTGTCTTCTGCTTGTATTTATTCCTTTTTGGCCTCGTTTTACCTCTGTCTGTTTTGCTGGCGCTTCTAATCAGAATTTGTAACCAATTTTCAATGCTCGGTGCGTTTCCTTTGTCGCTTACGCAATCATCCAAAAACCATTTTGTACCAGCTCCGAAAAAAAGCATTTGACTTTGCGATTGAATCAAACAATCAATTATCTTGTCTTTTTCTGTCTTTCACTTTTTTCATAATATTTTCTTCATCTGGAGCAGCCTTTGTTTTTTGCCATTTCTATCCTTGATGTTTTCCACAAGCAGTTGCCAGTTTTATTGGCCACACTTCTGTCAAATGCGCAATGAATGCACTTGGAAGGAAAGAGGACAGGAAATTCGTCTAAAATGCAAATAACTTGGAACGCGAATTAGAACAGAAGAATTTTTGTGTAGCCAAGAACGAATTAAAAACTATTCCACATTGATAAAAAATCAAAGGATGATTCAAAAACTATGGGAAGTTGAAATGGAATGGAAAACTATACCACATTGATTAAAAAATCAAGCTACGTCTGATATTGGAAGTTCTGTAATAAATCATACGAATTTTGTGTTAGCTCCAATTAGACAATAAAATCAAAAGATTTTCAGCTCAAAATCGAGTAAAATTAAGACAAATTTTAGGGAAAGAAAAATCCATTTTAAATTGTATTATAAGTATTATAAATTTAACTTTAAATCAAAATCATTAATTCAAATATAAATAATTCTTATTAAACATGTTAATTTGATATTGTTACTCAGTAAATCAACTTTGGTAGCAAGCTTCGTTTTATCTACGGCCAGTAAAGCCTTCTTACGGATATTTGTTCGGTAATTTGGAAGCATTCCCGGCTTTTTAATGGCCGACGCTCTTTTGTCGGCCATCTTGCACGTCAACAGGAAGTCACACATACGCACACAGACGCACACGTATGCCGCAGCGAGTACAAACATGTCCTCTGCAAAATGGCGAGCATAAATTTCCGCTCGCCATCCGCCGTCTGACGTTTTATGAGCAGCGGAGAAACTGAAACTGAGTCAAAGATTGTTTATGGCGGCCAACAGTTGATTCATCGCATTTAATGGATAACGCCGGGGCACATTCAGCAGAAAAAGAATCAAACTCGCGAAGGCAGAGTGTGAGCATATGCGAGTTCTGCCATTTTCTGCTGAATTTATGAATTTATTCCTGCTGGTGGCGAGAATGCGCGAAGGGTAGTCTAATATATTGGGGCAATAAATTCGCTAAGGGGACATGTCACTTGGCAGATAGCCGGCACAAGTGGTACGTAGATTCTGCAACTCACTGAACTCCTTCATCAATTATGACTATTTACATGTTAATGCCGCACCCCCTTTAAGCCCCCAATTACCAGTGATTGTTTCTCGACCGGCCTGAAATTGCATCGCCTGATCCCCCAATTGTTTGGCCAGATGTCGATGGCTTATCATTTAATGAACTGCTCGGATCCCAGGGACAACATCAACACAATATGACTATTGTACTTATGGCCAATATCCCCCCATTTTATTGTCCCCCGTGTGTATATTCAGGCATTGGCTTTTATTTAACGCGCCAAAGTCGGCGCTTATTTTTATTTAGGTCAACTTTATTATATGCACATAATTACAAAAGCCAACACACTGAGCCGCCTCCGTGTGTGTTGGCCGGAGATAAAGCATTTATGAAGACAGACATGTGGGAATTGCGGTGCTGGCAGGCCAAACAAAGTGCCATCGGGGGGAAAATCCTGGACCCCCTCCCCTTCCGAGTCTCATTTATTTGCGCTGTTCTAATAATAAGAAATAATGTCGTTTCATGTCGTATTCCAGCTTGGCCTATTGTCTATGTCCTGGCTGCCTTCTCTCCGGTTGCCAGGCCGCTCTAAAGACCCCAAGTAAAATATTTATGCGACAAAAGACAATTTTGGATTTATGCTCCTCTGTATATGTGTACTCGTATTTCGTTCACAACCAGCAACCAACTACCAGCACTAAAAGCAGCTGACTTTGGCTTTTTGTGCCGTGCCTCTAGTATTTTTCCCCTTTTCGGTTGAACAGGAACTGCTCCATAAATAGCCCAGCCCTGTAAGGCTCTTTCGTGTGCGAATTTATGTGGCGATGGGCAGGAAATTGTATGGCTAACATGGCTCGATTCGGGGGCCTGAAACTAGGACAGCAAACTAAAGTGTGCAAACTTTAATTGAGGTTCATTTGGATGGATGCAAACGCATGGCGTCCTATGTCCTGTGGGTAAGCACATTTTAAAAGTGACATGGATTAGGATTCAGTAACTCGATTTTACTGGACAAAGTTGGTTACTATAATCCAGCTGCATTATTTGTCAAGTTTACATGTAAGAGTATGCCTACAAAAGGAATTTTAGTCATTTTTCCATTTTCTATTCCCTTGAATGTCAATTTTGTATTATTTGTAATATGAGCTCTAATTGTACAGTTGATAATAACTGTATTGCATTTCCAAAGTGAATTCATTTTACAATGGAAAATATGACACCGATAATTTTGTTTTAAAGATTGTCATTTAATTTTACCCCAGTCCATTTTATGATCATTCGTTTTGACAGTACTTTTTAATTTTCCAGAATTTCTAGAATACCAAATGAAATAAAGGTTTGTGGTGGTAATTTTTTGCACCAAAAATATAGAAATCTGTTAGTCCTTGCTCCAGCTCTCAATTCCTCGGGTCGTAAAAAAAAACAGAACAAAATTGTATAGTGAAAGAAAATTAAAAGTGGTCTACTCCGATCCAACCGGAAATGAGCAGGAAAAGGTTGAATGATGATCCACCACAGGGAAGCCCTAGAAAAAAGTGGAGGGAACTCTGCCAGGATTACCGTTTCCAAAACACCGAGACTTATCCCTCGATCCGAACGGGGGAGCCACGATGCAACCCCAACCAGGACGAAGCCATCGCCGGGTTGGCCAACTCCCTCGCGGCTGACGACTGTGGGCGACCCTTCGACATGGTCAAGGACGACGTTCTGCTCGCTTGGCAGCAGAGTCCTCACAAGGACACGTTGGGCTTCTATGGCGTAGGGTCGCCCACCCATCAGCCCGAGTCGGTGGTGTTCAACCGGGTGCTCGCAGCCTGCCTGGTCAAGGTCAGCTGTGGTGGCAGTCGGCGACGTCGCCCCAAAAAGACAAGGTCGCCACCCCCGAGGACAGGAGCAGCAGGAAATATCTTTAAGCCTCAGCTTTGTAATCCCCTCATCCTCAACCGAAAGGCATTGCAGTCGGAGCTCCGAAAGATGCCCTATGTTAAACAACAGCTGGAACCGCTAAGAGCTTTCGAGACAGTTTATTGCCCTGATCCTACAGATCCCAGCGATCCTTTTGGAGTGTTACGCCAAAAGGACGAAATAAGGCCCAAAAATACCACAAAAGGTAAGCGTCGCAGGCACTGGTACTGCCCCATGGATTGTGACGAAGTTCGAAATAAGTGCACTCAGTACGAGTGGACCAGGTACAAACTAGATCCCCGTCCCCGTAACAAAGAATTCCGGGATTGGCTGCAGGAGCAAAGGGAGCTGCGGTGTCCGGAGCCCAAGGACTACGATCAGCTATACGAGAGATTTCTCAAGTGCTTCGAGCAGAAGCCATCTCCAGATCCGCTTTGCAAGATCTTCCAAAAATGCTGCAAACCCAAGACACCACAGGAAAATGATAATCAAGGGGGTGGCGATGGGCACGAAGGAAATGGAGATGGTCGACAAGGTGGAGGACCTTCGAGCGATCAAGGAAAATCGGGTGGCGGAGAAACACCCACAAAAGGCGAGGAAAATGGTGAAAAGGGCACTGGCGAGGAAGCTGGAGGAACCGCTGACAGCAAGGATACAAGAGATGGCAGAGAAAATAAAAATAGAATCGTAGAGAAAGAAAAAAATAGAAAAGTGGAAATAAAAGAGGAAAAGGGCAAAAATGATGAAGAAAATAAAAGTAAAGATGAAGATAAAGATAAAAGTAAAAATAAGAAAGATAAAAATAATGAAAACCAAGATAAAGTTAACGAAGATAAAAAAGAAAGTGAAAAATATAAAGACGAAAAAGAAACTGTCGGAAAAAAGGAAGAAGAATCGGAGATAAAGAAAGTAGAATCGGAAATAAGGGAAGAAGAATCGAATACAAAGGAAAAAGACATTCCAAAACGAAATACACCAAGGGAACGATTTTCCGAAAGGGAAAAACCCAGTGTGAAAACAGATACTCCTTTAGTTCCTTTAGAGAAAGATAACGAAAGGCCTAGTAACAGGGAAACTTCAGTGACCCACAGTATTACTGAGATTCCAGTACAAGAATACGACCGGTTCGAGCCGATATTCCCAAAAGGCAGACTCAAGGTTCCTCATAAGAGAAAGAAAAAGTTTAAGAATAAAACCGTAGGCATGGATAAGATCAAAAAGATCTGCCAGCCTTGTCCACCGCCGGGTTGTCAGTGCGATATCTGCCATTTTATGGATCGCCATTGTAGGGAACCGGAGGCTCCCTTCATGCGGGACATGAGGCGGGCGGAGCAAAGGCGCCAGCAGCGGGCCTACTATCGCCAAATGTGCCATCAGGAATATCTGCGCAATCAGTGTCGGGAAGAGTACCGGGCGCCCAGGCACAAATGCGATCCCATCCGCTGCGACAACTTCTTGTGCCGCAATCCCCGCCTCGCCGAGCACTGCGATTGCCTGGAAGCCGTGCAGGAGCTGCAGAAGCTTCTCTCTGGCGCCAAGGATAACCAGGATTGCTGCAGACTGCTACCTCGTGTAGAGAATCTTCGGAGCCGCCTCTGCCAGCGCATGTGCGATTGCGTCCTGGCATAAACTGGATCAGAATGCAAACGAGTTCTTGTTTTTAAGTGTGTTTTTGTTTTGGATCGAAAGTAAAAGTGGTTTTTCATAAATGTAATTTTTTCGAAGGAAAAAAATATAGTTTTAAATATTGGTTCTAGTATCAACAAAGTCATTTAAAACGTTAGTAATGTTAGTATTTGTTAGTATTTGTTAGTTATTTGTAAAACCACATTAATACATTTTTTATGGAAATCAAAATCTCTTTTTGTTGATGAACAGAAATTTCAGATTACTCCCTCTCCCGTCCAAAACAGTAAGCGAGGCAATTTACCACTTGGCCATAATTCCGCAAGTACAAAACACTTATTGTACAATACACATTATGCCAATCGGCAAACAAATCCTGAACGCCAGACTCAAGAGTATAAACACAAAATCCTAAGGCGAATATGGCCAAGCATTACAGCCACTTTATTTTCAATATCGAATTTCCCAAAAATTTTTCAACAGCCGCAAACACTTGAACGCTTTCCCAGCGCTCAATTAAAGGCCATTAGGCGGCAGTGAAGGAGGGGCGGGGGAAAAGTCCACAGCCAGCGATGGAAAACTACCCGGAGCCCCTTACCAAATCCATCGCAATATGTGTGCTATGTATGGCCAAAGGATAAACTGGAAACACGCATTGAATTTCGCAGACAAAGGACACAGGCTTTTCGAGAATTTTCCCCCATATGCGCAAATTCACATGGTGGAAATCTGCCTGCCCCACTTCCCCCATTTCCCCGGGCATATTACTAGGCGAAAAATGTTTCGGCCCTCGGGCTGGGGAGTAATTAAAGTTTTGCTCAAGTGTCGATAAATTATGCGGAAGACGCTCTATGCAAATGGCTTACAACAATGCGAGCAGCTGCCAAGCGGATCTTGACGAACTGACAAGCTGACACACTGCCGGACGGACAGATGAACGGACAGACGAACGGACAGACGGACGGTTGGGCATTCTTTCAGCCTTCGAATGACAGGCACTTCATCATCGTGTCCTTCGGCGAGTGTGTAATTCATCACGCGAACAACCGCAGCTTCCCCAGCCTCCACGTCCGCAAAAGCGACATGACATGTTGAGCCAGCAGTTCGGCCCAAAAGGGGGGGATACGGACACGGCTCCTGGAGAAGGCTTTAAGCTCGGTGAGCCGCTTTTCGTGATGAGGCAAAAGGAATGCTATTAAGCAAGTTGACATTAATCGTTCTGACTTTTAGGCGGAGGAGAGGAGAAGAAGGGGGCACAAGTTAAGGCGGCCTCATGTGTCCTGGTGCTAATGAAGCTCTGGCAGTCACTCGGCTGCCTGTAATGGGAAAACAATTAAGTATGTAAAATGCAAATGACGAGCCCTAAAAATCTTGTCAAAATGTTCGTCATGCATATTGATAAGTTTAAGGAGTGAAACCAAAAGTGGGGGGAATTACATGATGTGCAATTAGTACATCCTCCTTGGCTGTCATCAGTGAATAAATTTCAGCTTCACGACTGGCAGCTGCTATGAATCAACCAGAATATTACTATGTTTATACGATAGCAATCACGATTTCTTGAAAGCGCGATATAGAAATTGCCCCCGTTTATACGACAGCCGAGAATTCATGCTTTTATTCACTCTCAGCTGATAGGGATGCCGGACCGGTAAAAATATATAATTGTTAATACCACTGATTACAGAAATAGCCTATAAAAGGCCATCATGGTAGAACTACAACAAATGATTAAATTTGACTACACTCTAAAAAACTGGTATATGACGAAATTACTTACATTACTACTGTAGATATGCTTAACGAAATGGGGATGCAATAATAACCCAATCCGAATAATAGAAAGGTAAATATTAGTTCGGTTTTAAGGCTGCATTATATTCTATAGAATTTACTAAAATGAGGTATTAATTCTCGAGTCCAATCTTCAATAATGTGCAAATAAATGTCCATTTACCTATCTACCTGTCATCTTGCACGCATTGTCGGTTTTATGAATAGGATTTTGGGCAATGCCGGCCAGAACAAAAGCCTAATTAGCTGCCACGAAGCTCGTCTGCAATCAGTAGTTATATGCTTATATCCTAATTTATGTTGAGAATGGGAAAATTGTTGGTTCAGTTCGAATGATAAAACGCTATGCAAAATGGTTAGAGAGATCCAATAAACAGGATTACCCATACGCCAGGTGGTCGCCCCCCGAATTTCCGCTTCAACCTCCTGTCTGATTAAACTAGTGAAAATTTCCGTACGCACTACTATATATATTTATGTTTGCTTAATTAATGAACACTAATACCCTTGTTTACTGGCCCTCAGCACCGCCCCCTTAACTCCTTCGCCCACCTAACGCAACCAATTTCCTGTTGCTCGAAGCCAGGAGTAAATCTTAGTTAGTTAGGAAAGATGCTTCAATCTATTGCTTGTATTGTTTGCGGCAAGCTGCACATTAATGTTAATGCAATTATGAAATTCAAACCTTGTTTATTGTATGCTGATAATTCCAGGGTTTTGATTTAAGCCCACCGAATAATTGCTGTTGGGTTGCTGGGTATTGACAAAAACCTAATTCAAAGCTGAAGCACTGTGTTCAATATTTATTAAGTGTTTAGATAATAGTATAATTACACTTTAGCTCGTTGCCGCCAACGGTGATAAAATAATTTAGGATTTAGTACCACAGCTGATAGTTATTATCGAGAAATTCTGACATTAAATAACACTGGTCGACAAAAAAAAAGCCCAAGAATAAAAGCTACCAAACCTGAAAGGATTTTAGCTGTAGATTACTACCTCATACTTGGAAACTTTCCATCACGTCGAGAAATCCGTGGTCAAAGTTCCAAATTTTCGATTTTTAGGCACTTTTTGCGGCTTAATAGCAAGAAAACCCTTCGTAGCCCAGAGCCAAAATTTAGCGGAAAAGGTACTTTGAACCTTTAATTTCAAGATTGCCCAATCACAAAGTTGGGCGTCCTCTACTTCTTTAGCTACAATCGATTTTACAGAAGTACTTTTTGTTACTTTTTTTCATCTATAGTAGCCTGATATTTTTAATGTATTGTATGTGTACGGGTCTCAGTTCAACAAGGAAAATATCAGGCTACTATAGATGAAAAAAAAGTGGCAAAAAGTACTTCTGTAAAATCCATTGTAGCTAAAGATATAGAGGTCGCCCAGCTTTGTGATTGGACACTCTTGAAGTTAAAGGTTCAAGGTACCACTTCCGCTAAATTGTGGCTCTGGGCTACGAAAGGTTTTCTTACTATTAGGCCGCAAAAAGTGCCGAAAAATCGAAAATTTGGATCTTTGACCACGGATTTCTAAAAACTTCGACGTGATGGAAAGTTTCCAAGTATGAGGTAGTAATCTACAGCTAAAATTCTTTCAGGTTTTGTAGCGTTTATTCTTGGGCCAAGAAAAAGTCTTGATTTTGTCGACCTGTGTAATCTTTAGATCTTCAAGCTCACAATAAAAACGAAAATTGCCAGCAACTAATTTTACTTTATTGAGATTGGTTTTCCCTCGAACCTTTTCCTCACTTCCCGACTCTCTTAAATAGCGCTAATAATAAGAATGAAGTTGAAGTGCCTTTACGAGCGCTTACAACGTATGACGATGGCGATTAGCATTAAAGTGGGCCCAGAACATAAAACCATTTTATATCCTCGAATAAACGGGCGAGGGTCGCAAAAAAGAGGGGTGAAACAGGTGACATTCCCTACCAACAAGGTGCCCAATTTTCCGCAAATGTTTCGGCTTTTATTGGACGCGTGTCCCATCATCCCAGGGCTGCTCCTTAGACGCCGCAGTTGACTCCTCAATGTGGCCAGAACATAAAAATTGTATTAAGCCATAAAGTGGAGTCTAGGGTGTAGAAATAAAAGCAGCTAAAATATACATAAAACGATTTTATATGCGGCTGGCAGACAATTGAATTGACTTCTTGTACTTCTCTCAAAGGCGTGTCTTGATTCATCTATTAAACTCCATTGTTCTGGCAGTCAAAACTTCATTGCATCTCAAATCATGTTTTCGTCCTTTCCACTGGCAAAGTCCTTCTGCTAGTGTAAGCAAATGAAAAAAAACTTCTATTCGAATTTTTTCGATTTTCATTTCATATTTTCTTTTCACATCCATGGATGCATTAGACGTGGTTCAAAGGTATATATGCGGATATTCTGTTCATCCAAAATATATTCATTCTTTCTATTTATTTTTTCGTATTTCTTATCCTTGAGACATTTTTAAGAGTTCATGCTGTTTCATATTTTTTAAAATTATTAAAAGTATATGCGAGATTTTAGGTTAAACGTTAAATGATAAATAAAAAGTATGCAACTTTTTTTAAGTTTTTTTAAAAAGCTTAGTTAAAAGGTTAAATGATAAATAAAAAGTATGCATCAATAACTTTTTTTAAAAAGCTTAGTAATGTAATAATATAGATGACTTAGTCATATCTCATTAGGAAATTAAAACAAGTAAATAAAAAATGTATTTTTTGGTAACTTGTTTTTTCGAATAAATTAATTATTATAAAAAATTAGATCATAAATATGTCGACAGTATAACTACACCCAAAAAAAACTCGATATGAATCGTAGGTCAATTTGAGCTTTTTTAAGATCATTTTTAACTTGATATGGGGCCAGGTAAATGAGATATGTTCGAAATGTAAAAAATCTTATTTCTGACCAAAACGTACACTAGTGCGAGCGAGAAAACATGCTTGAAGTACGTCAGTTCGAATTTCGAATCAGTCTTTCTCGCTTCCACTCATGTCATTTTATTCGCCATATTGATTCTTGCGCTCTTTTTCGAAGTTAGAGAATCTCCGAGAGAGAGAATTCGGCAAAATGATATTATTTAATGTAAATTTTTTGAATATTTCAGGTAAAAACGAAATGAGTAGGAATAACCAGAAAATTACCTGGACTTATCGATTTTACGGCGACGTGCTTTTTTTTGTGTGTAGTTACTCAAATCCCATATATTTTACTTAA